CTTGCTCGGGCTAAGATCCCCGCTGCTGGTGTAGCTGCATGAGCACAAACCTCTAGTGTAGACGCCAGCGCAGCTCACACTGGTTTCAAACTGGGGTGAACCAGACAGATGGGAAGGCTGCTGCACCACTTCAAATTAGTTCTCTGCTGGGGGGAAACCGGATGATTTACACACTTTGTGAAATTTTTTGTAATGAAACGATTTCCCACTCACTGGGTACAGTTTAAGGATTATACTTTTTTTTGTCGGGGGTGCAAGAATTCCTAGTGGCTGAAATGTACATGAAAACACTGGAAGGCTATTAAAGCCACAGGGCTTGATTCCCCTCCCCACCACCCCTCCCTTAGATGGGTGTAAGCCAGGAGCAGCTTCACTGAAAATCAGTTGTGTTGCACAGATGGAAAACAAAACAGGAGAATCGGGTTCATATTCCAATTCCTAGGCATAAGGGTTCCACTAAATGAATAAAAAGCAACCCCTTGCATTTCTCGTGGCTATCCTGCCTGATCCTAAATGCAGGAAGCTGCTTTACCAGCCCTCAGTGGTGGTGGCATACTGCAATCGCTGTTAGCCAGACACAGCTTCTAGTGACCTATTACGAGGGACGAGCAAACTTTCCAAGGCTGGGAACTTCAGCTAAGCAGCCTCCCCTCCCCCCAGTTCTGACCCTGAAATCCAAAGCGTGCAAGTCTCAAGCTCAAAACGGGATCGTCAGGGTTAGATTTACCTGGGCCTTGTCCCTTAAAGTATTTGAAGTCTGCTGACCGGCTCAAAGGAGATAGCTCTGGAAGGACTGAGCAGCAGTGGGGCTTGTGCAAGCTCTGCATGTGTTTTAAAAAAAATAAAAATAAAATACTAAGTTTAATAAGTCTTTTAAAAACTGGTGTTTTATGTTCCCCGACTAGGGACAAACCCAGACCAGAACGTTCATGAGAACAAACACTCTTGAGGGATTTCCAACCCTGCGACTGCTGAGGGAGGGAGTGTGGCCTAGTGGATAGAGCACCAATGTGGAACTCAGTACACCTGGATTCTGTTCCCAGCCATGCCACTGACTTGCTGGGTGACCTTGGGCAAGTTACTTCCCCACCTGTGCCTCAGTTTCCCCATCTGTAAAATGGGGATATGGACACTGACCTCCTTTGTAAAATACTTTGAGACCTACAGATGAAAAAATACTATATATTGTTATTAATCTATGAATTGTCACCCTTCTGAACTAGGCGACTAATCTGTTACCCCCCCAAAAATGGACTGTTTTTCCATAACACCCCCTTCTTGCATTCAAGTGGCAACATTTGTTTTAAAACCAAACAGTCCCCTGCAGCATTTGCAGCCCAATATTGCAGACCTAGTTTAGTGCAAATGAAAAGGAAGTGGACTAGAAACTGATTGTACGCCAGGTGAAACTGACGCATCTGTTCTGGATGTCCACATTCAGACCTCAACAAGAAGCGAGCATATTGGATTTTTAAGATTCCTTCAGTTTTAATAAGCTAAGGCCGAGTTAGTACGGCAGGTAAGGTACAAAATTCTTTCCCCTACTGCATTCCCTTAATATTGTAGCAGTGTTGATTGATTCGGGGTGGAATTTTCAAAAGCACTTAAGTGACTTAGGACGACAAGTCTCATTTTCAAAAGCAACTTGGCACGGATGAGCCATTGACATCACTGTGGGCTGGGAGGGTCACTGGCTGCCACTGGCTATGTAGACATATCTTAAGTCACTTGGGATCCCAAGTCCCATGTACAATGCTTTCCATTCTCGTGAGGCAGCCCCCATCATAGAGGGCTGAATTTCAAACCTACAGAATTGACACCTCCACACCCTGTCTATCTCCCCTTCTGACCAAACGCTGCCCACGCACCAGAGGGAGTTTCCCCAAGTTAAATTACTCGCATCACAGCAGCACCCAGAAGCCCCTAAGATCAGAGCCCCACAGTGCTAGGTGCTGTACAGACACTGCTCCAAAAAGCTGACAGACCGGACAGACAAGGTGAGAGGGCAAATAGAGGCACAGAGATATGGTGACTCACCCCAGGAATAGCACCCAGGTCTGCTGGCTCCTTATCGGCCACCCTGTGCTGACTACACCAGGCTGTCGCAAACGTTAAGGGGCGCTCTCGGTTTTGTTAGATGGTAATTTTTGGAGTTCGCTTCAAATCACAGGCAGGTGAGATCTATGGATGGTTGGTCTCTTTTGGGGCAAGCTACCGCCACTCCATATGAAAATCTACATGATCCTAACGCTGGGAAAAAAAAATCAGCGTATTCAGGCTGAGATCTCCTGCAGGATCTATTGTGTAGACAACGAATGACTCCAACAGCTATGAGATATCCTCCCCCACCACTCCTGCACCCCCCAGCTTTGTTTGAAAAGCCTGGAACTTTGATTATTACCAGACAGGCACAAGCGAGCCCAGAAACTACCTCTCACAAGTTAGATCTGGGCTTTGATCTCTGTGCCATTATTGACTCTAAAGGCTTTCACAGCTTCTTCTGTCCCCCCTTAGGGAAGTCAGGCTAACCATAAACGGAAAACACAGCCGCTTAGACACAGACGGGACTCCCTTGTGATTAGAATGAGGTCATCACAAATGGGGAGGGGGAGGGGGAAATCTTTTACAACAAAACATCACCTCATCTCGCACCAGTGGTGACTTCTCAGGACTTTGTGTGTCTCCATTGTGGGGCAGTGCAAAGGGTGCTATCGGACAGAATAGAGCCCATCATTATGAATGGTCATTCAGAGATAAGTGATCCTTGAATCTCGATACCAAATTACTTATTATTTGCCTCATGGTAGCGCCTAGAGGCCCCAAGAAGCATCCTGTTGTGCTAGGTGCTGTACATGCATTGAACAAGAGAGAGGTGCCTGACCTAAAGTGTTTAAAATGGGAGTTTTGCCCCAACTTCAATGGGTGCAGGATCAAGACGACAGGAGGTTGCCACAAATGGGGGAAAACACAAGTAACAGTGGACTCAAACATCTAGACAGGAAGCTCTGTCCTTCCTCACCCATCTGAAATGCAGGACCCTGCAAAGGGAAAGGAAGAGCCCCACATGTACAACCAAAGAATCGCGAAGGGCCAATGATTAGAATCAGGCACAAAAACCGGGGGTGTAGTTTGGATTTGGGTTGGACAGCCCCGTCATTCTAAAGCCACAGGTCATTCTCATCCATGGGCCATTCCGCCTGGGTGGAATGAAAGAAGCTGTTTATTCTACCAACTGAACCGGCACCAAACGCTTCCTTTCCAAATTCACGAGACGAAAGAAAGCTGAGAGCTAAGAGGACTTGAGCGATGTAGGGCTTGACCCTCCTCTCACGCCAGTATAAAATCGAGGGCAACGCCACTGAAGTCAATGTGATAAAAACGAAGCAAGTACAAGGAGAATAAATGCATTTAGTATCTAGGGCATGGCAATTCCAGAGCAGGTAACACATACCTGCACAAGAGAGATAAGCTTTCTAATTTTAGCACAACTCCAGTGCCTTATGGGAGAAAACCCAGGCAGGGAATGGAATGGAGAAGTTGTCGGGGATTTGGAAAGGTGATTGTTGAGCAATAGTATCTCACGCACTGGAACTGGTGTCTGGCTGGCCCACGTTCCACCTATTTGCAAGGCAAAGTAGGTGTTGCAAAAATATCACATTCCTGAGAACTCCATTGCGTGCGTGCATACATACAACTGCATCCCCAGCTCGCAGCACTTCTCCCACATACTGGTTATCCTGGTCTACTAGGCAGTACTGGACCCAGGAGACTGGATCCAACTCTCCGCCAGAACTTGGAGGAAGTTCAGACCAAGATATGAACTTGACCACTCAGTCCCTTTCAGAGCCAGAATGAGCCACTCTAAGGGCTGTGAAGGAATGGCACTAGCAGTTCCCAAGTGTTTTTCAGCTCACTTAATGTTTGAGCTATGAAGAATCTCTGTTAGCAGTATGAGGACTCTGACATGCAGTTGAGCAGATCTGATTCCATCCAGCAGAGGGTAGTCATGTTCCCCACACACTAGCCAGCCCACTAAAAGATGCATTAATGTAAAAGAAGGTAACCCAATCCCCTCTTTGCACCACCCCAGACTCAGATACCATGGAACAAGGCCACATCCCAGAGGATCATTTACACATGGGGCTACTGGCATCCCATCCACACTGATCAGCAAGGCTCTGCATGGACCCTGTAATTAACACTACAGTAGCTCTCAAAAGCCTCAACTGGGATTGTGCGAGGTATTGTACAAATACAACAGAGATGGTCCCAAAGAGCTAGCAACAGCATTGTTTGCTCATGGGTACAAACCAGCACTCACCCTGGAGAAGACCTTATTTCACTACAAGCCAGCACTCGGTTAGGAGCCGGAGCATAGGAAAAGGCTATTCTGTCTGTTGGTTATTTTAAATGGCTAGCAGCAGGCTGGAAGTGAAAACCTTTCTGGGCTGGATAAGCAGCACACAGACTAAAGTGAATTCTCTCCTCTCCCAGTGGCTTCATGCTCAATAGGATGGAACGAGAGGCAGAGAAAAGAAATGACCTCTCCTCCACACGGTTCTCTTAAACCAGCCCTGCCAAATCACACATGTGATCTATCCACTTATTAACACGGCCTAGATTAATACATTGAAGGTAGGGTGTTAAACAAGAATCAAATTAGGCCCTGGGGAAGAGGCCAACATTACCCTCAGTAAGATAACCACTAAACGTTTCTGGGTTGTTGTTTTTTTGCACTTTCAAGTACAGATCTCAACCCCATGGCTGAGCATTTTCCAAACATCTGGGCTGGGGAAGGTGCCATCTGAGCTGGAGGACTACTGGAGAGGGCCAGGAAACAGAGTACAGGCATGATGCGAACATCTGTGGGGACCACTGGGTATGATTAGAAAAGCCAGAAGGGGTGGCTGAGAGAGCTAATTCAGAGCTCTGGCTGCAGAAGACATGGTTGAAATTACTATGCAAGGTCTAAGGTGAATATATTAGATCAGTGAACTTACCACTCAAGGCAGATGTTGTGTTCTCCAAGGCATGGCACACAGCTAGTAAAATACCTAGGGGAAAATTTCAAATACAGGTCACATACAATACAACAAGCAAAACATTGATTTAAACAGTTACAAGAGAGACACACAGAAGATCTTATTTCTAGCTGCAGGGGCAGAGTCAAAGATGCAAGAGACCTATAGGTTTTAAAAGGAATCAACAGCTTTTGGGACATATCCATATATTTTAAGGCCAGAAAGGATCATCTCTAACTATACACACACATACACCCAAGATATCCAAGTTTATGTCCTTAGACATAGAATGCAATATACACACACACACCTGATCTATACATGTATCGGTGGATGGAAGTATTTTCCCAACACAACATACAGTAGTAGGAGCAGCAATAGTACTTGGAATATCCATGGAAACTTTCATCCTAGGATCCCAAATCATATTGAAATATTAAATCTCAGTACCCCGCGTGGTATTGTTATACCCAGGTAGAGATTAGGAAGCTGACACACAGAGAGGTTAAATAACTTGCCTAAGGTCTAGGGTTTGATCCAGTGCCCATTGTGGCCGAGGGACAAGTCAGTTGCAGAACCGGGAAAAGGACCCACGAGTCCTGACTCCCAGCTCCCTGTTCCAACCCATGGCTCAAATCTATCCAAATGCAAAGAACTGTGTGTACCATAAGCTCTCTTATCCAAAGATTCCCCACCTAAATTAAATAGCCCTTTATTTGAAACCCGGTTTATCGCATAAATTCCACACTCCCCAATTCTGTTGAGATAAGTAGAGTTCCAGCTCTTATGTTACCAGTTGTAAACAACTGTTCATAAAAATGAATAAAATGTGCACCAGAAAAGCAAAGTGGTGGTAACAATGTAAGCACTAGCCGAACAAGAAGCCTATAGAGCCATATGGGTCTGAATGTGAAGGAAGGATTCTAAACAATCCTTGTTTTAAGAGGATTTAAAGGGGGTGAGGGGGGAGAAAGCTAAACGCACTATATATTTCTGAAGGTCATTCTTTTTCCATGCGGAGAGTTAGGAGGAGAAAATTGACCACCAGAAGCAGAACTAATAGCAAATCCAGAAAACAATTAGGATTAATTTAGATTCAACTTTCCGGAACTGCAGGCACAGTGGAAATGCAAAGCCAGGTTTCATTGCTCTAATAAGACGGGTCCTTGAGCTGGGGAAAAACAAAGGTTGAAGCCAGGTTTTGTTCAGGCTAAAGTGCTGGTTAGACCCATCAAGTTTAAAGCCAGAAGGGACCACCAGATCATGGAGTCTGACTTCCTGTGTATCGCAGGCCAGAGGATGAAGAGGGGTACGGTTTGGATGGCTTACATGATTTTGGAGCTTTTGCTGTGAGACTTCAGTCTGAAATGGTGGCTATTTCACCTGATCAGCTTATCTGGCAGAAGATTAAGCAGGGAATCTCCCATCATCAAGAGATGGGTCTCCTTGCAAGAACCCACCCTGGGAGATTTTTAATTAAAAACCAAAAAGAGCATTGGAACGGACTTTTATTCTCTCTTGAAAACAAGGCCATGACAGCAAACTGGGAATCCAGAAATCCGGATGCAAATACCCCTTCCTGAAACGTGGAGGGGTTCAGATTGGCGGTTCTTGTTTGGGCCCTAATTAAGCAGAGCCATGTGAAACGCAACCATTTCCAGCCTGCAGGATTCTCTAACCTTTTCTTGGTTTCGGTTCATGAAGCATTTAAACCCCTCCCTCCTGAATCTTGGGTCAAAACAAACCCCAAACCTCAACCAACACTCATCTGAAGCCAGCTAGTTCTGCTGGCTTGGGGTCAAATCCACCAAGACTCTCACCAGAAACCACTCAATGCCTCTTGCTCATTCAAAGAGCTCATAACCCCTAGTGAGATTGGTCTGAGTACTAGGTCTGCAATGAAAAACACAAGTCAGATAAGCTGGGAATGTCACAAACAGGTGCCCAGTTATGAACATTCAACTGCCGAGTTGAGATTGGAGCTATGTTGCACCCACAAAAACAGAAGCAGAGATTCAAAGAACAATTGTATGAGGATAAGGACAACTCACTCCGCCTCCTAGATGTTACACACCTTTGTTTAAAGATATGGCCCTTGGAATGCTGGCATTTCCCCAAAACTCAGCTAGATGGAGCACCCTGCTGGACTTCCTGGTGACAGCACACAGAGTGTTAACAACAAGCATATCCAAACTCAGCTGGGAACCTTTCCAGCACCACCTTTGCATGATTTGCTTCCCAATAGATTCTGCTTTTAGTCTTGGGGAAGTGCCTATGTTTTGACATATTGGGCCAAATTCACCCCGTCGCAACTTTCATGGAGTTGCGCAAGAGAGAACACTAGCTCATAGACTAACACCTCCACAAGTCACCCTCCGGCTAAGCCAAGCTGTGATCGATAGATATGCCACCAGCAGGTACAGACTTAAGAGCAGAACGTTTTATACGTCCTTCAGCTTCAAGCTCGCATACAGATAGGAGCTCCTTGAGGGAGAGAGAGAGAGAGAGAGGTTCTCTCAGCTGGGCTTTAACTCCCATGAAGAAATATAAACAGGCAAAAATTATTAGCTAGATCAGGTGTTGGAACCTGTTAAAAATTGATCATCCCACCTAGTTCAAATAGATGCTTCTCTCTGTGGAGTTTTGTAAGGCAGCTGAATACACACACACAGTTTGATGTTAGACAGCCAGTGATCTCTTGAAACACTGTGCCGCTGACCGCTCTTTAATTACAGTTTGCAGCGTTGTTGTATGTATCTGCATGTTGGTCCCAGGATATTAGAGAGACCAGGTGGGAGAGGGAATCTCTTATTGGTCCACTTTCTGTTGGAGAAAGACAAGCTCTCCTGCTATGTAGAGCTGGTAACTGAAGAGCAGCTCTGAGTAGCTGGAAAGCTTGTCTTTCACCAACAGACGTTGATCCAATAAAAGATATTACCTCACCCACTTTCTCTCTCCAGCTCTTTAATTAGGTGGGGTTATAGCCCCCTTTGATTGTAGGAACATAGGGATTGCTAAATCAGATTGGGCTCATAATCCATCCAGACCAATATCCCATTTCTGAGAGTGGCCAGCACCACTTGCTGCAGAGGAAAGTGCTAGAAATTCCACAGCAGGAAGATGTGCTCTCATCCTAATCACTAGGAGTTAAAGATTAGTTTCAATCCCAAAGCATGAAGTTTCACATCCCTTCCAAATCTTTTAGCACTATTCTAATTCTTGACATTCTTGTTATCCATATTATTGCCCAGTCCCTCTTCAGCAAGAGTCTTGCCCGCCACAACATCCTGTGGCAATGAGTTCCACAGTCTACTCTGTTCAGAAAAAAAATATTTCCTTTTACGAGCTTTTATTTTCTCATCTCTTGATTCCACTCAATGTCAAGAGGGGGCTACTGGAGGGAGATTCTCTGTGGCTTTGGAATTCTATATGCCTCTTTGTCTGAAACAGCCCCAACAGGATTACTTTCAAAGCATGTCACAAAGCACATCTTTTCCACCGGCTGCTGGAAAACTGAGCAGGTTTGGAAAAGTGGGGAATTGTTAGAGAGAGGGAAAGTTGAGCTTTTAACTTGTCTGGCTTGATGGTGGCAGGTTCTACCACATTGTATTGTTCTGCATTATTTGTGATGTACTTTCAAGTTACATTAAGGACACAGAGTTTATGTATGGCTGCCCCTTATACAAACACTGAAAATAAGCCCCCAAAGCCAAAGAAATGAATTAAGCCACAATTGAAAAAGTTATCCCAATCCAGGACAGCACTTATGCATTGAATCAGAGAAATGTAGGGCTAGAAGAGACCTCAAGAGGTGAATTAGTTCAACCTCCTGCACTGAGGAAGGACCAACTATACCTAGGCCATCCCTGACAGGTACTTGTCTAACCTGTTCTTAACAGCCTCTGATGATGGGAATTCTACAACTTCCCTAAGTAACCTATTCCAGTGCTTATCTATCCTTATAGGTAGAACATTTTTCCTAATATCCGATCTAGTTCTCTCTTGCTGCAAATTAAGACAATTATTTCTTGCCCTACCCCCAGTGGACATGGAGAACAATTGATCACAGTCCTCTTTATAAGACTTATCACCTCTCCCCAACCCCCGTCTTCTTTTCCAGACTAAACTGGCCAATTCTTTCAGCTTTTCCTCATAGGTCATGTTTTCTAAACCTCTTATTTTTGTTGCACATGCCCAAGTCGCACTGAAATCAATGAGTGCTTAAAGTTAAGTGCGTGCTTCGCTGGATCAGGCCCTAACACACTGCTTTAGAGCAACACCGTGCTGAAAACATACCAAGGCAGACAGCACAAGCTTAGCACTATTCTAATTCTCGACATTCTTGTTCTCCATATTGACACCAAATCCCTCTTGGTAACCAGAGATGTAAATACACCTCATCCAGGATTTCAAATAACAGGACCTGCCAGGGACATCATTACCTTGGGCCACAGGTTCCTGTTTCTCATTAAAGGATGGACTTTTCCACTTCCTCCCACAAGTTAGGTTTTTATCCTCTCAGTATCCGAAAGCTTACGTTCATTAACCACAGACTGCCGAGGTTCAGTCACCCTGTGATTGCTTGAGGTCAGTGATTCACACAAGCGAGGCCTGACAGCTGAGTAAATATGGTTTTAGGTTACCTAGAGCAAACTATGGCGAACATACCCGACAACACAGCAGCTAAGGTGGTGAATTTAGGTGCGTGCACTGTGGTAGCTGTAATGCAATCTATGTGGCATCATCACACTTTCCCATGCAGAGTCACCTAGATGGGACATCGGCATTAGATAGAAAGTTGAAAATACCAAGGCCGGGCTTTTCAAAGTAGCCTAATGGGATATTCAATTCAAATGGGATCTGGTTACCTAACACGCTTAAGGTTCTTGGAAAATCTGTAGCTCTCCCTAGACAAAGACTGAGTTTTACAACGCGAAACCCTCACCACTGGTTGCTAGCGGGGATCGAACCCAGGATCTACACCTTCAAAGTTACAAGTCTCTGCAACTTGAGCCAAAGGAATAACGTCACCT